GGGGAGAGAGGGTCTTTCACAGCCTTGAACGTTTCCTTTTTTCCCTTGCCCACTCCTGTCAAAATGACACCACCTTTTTAGTACAAAAATGTGTTGGCCATGGTCAATACAAGGATATAATAGTTTAGTTTTGTAGATGGCTTTCTCATTTCAGCTGTAGTTTTTTAAAAATCACTTACCTTTTTTCTTCGGCTTATGCGTATCAAGTTTAGAGAGCCATGTTGGGTCATTCTAGATATGACTTTCATTGTTTGACATAGCCTCTATAAGCAAAACACTTTTTTTTAAAAGTAAGAAAAAGTTAACACTTGATTTTCTCTTTTGAAACAGTTCTGTAAGTAGATCTACATGTTTCTCATTTTCTTTCTTAAAAAAAAAAAAAATCAATTTAGGCTTGTAGTTGTTCATAGAGTTCCATGTCCAGTGGTGATCGGTTTGTATAGGGATAAGCGTTGCAGTGTCTTGGACAGGACAGGGATATCTTGCAGTGGGCACCATGTGCATGGGAACGTTTGGTTCAGATAATGATACCTGTGCCTCTGGTGTAGCAGTCAGGTGCTTCACCGTCGCACGCAGGAGACCCGAGTTCGACCCCCTGATTTGTTTCATCGTCTTCGCTTCCCAAATTGTCGAGGCCACTTTTTTCACCCGCTGCACATGCACTAACAACTGTCTGAGACACTTGAGATTCTTGTTTGTGTTCTTTTAATTAACTCCCATTGAAGCAAACACAAGGGGTTCCACTATATGTATATTAGCTTAATGTTTGCCTCTGTGCGATCTTGTGCTTTCTGTGTTCTTGCATGGTTTGTATTGCACGTGAGTGTTGTACTAGAAGTTGTTTCTGAAGCACCCCAATTTTGAGAAGAGTACTGAGCTAATAGTCGAAATCATCCACTATGGCTACTCATTGTTGAGGAGAATGATGGTTGTTTTAGGCAGGTGGACGTCTTGGACAATCTCGTTATAATGAATATAACTTGTGCTGTTCATTTTAAAAAGTTACTGTTTCAAGTTTATTAATGCTGCAGTTGCTCTCCTAGTCTAGATCATACTTTTGTTTCACTATAAATAAAAATTATACTTCGAGGCTTGCAAGTTTTTTAGTTTGAGCTATGAATCACAAACAGTTAAGAAGCATAAAAAATGTGCACTGTGCTATCATTTATATTTCTCCTATTTTGAGGATCGTTGGTTTGATCCCTCTAGTTCCAAGAGATTCAGGACATGGGTGGTTGGCGGGGGCTCTGGTGTTGTTTGATCCTTCTTTCCCATCCAAGAATTATCGTCATAATCTCTCCTCCTTCTTTTGGTGTTCACTACTCTCTTGTAACACCTCTAATCTTCGGCACTTATATGACCTAATTATGTTGCAAGTGCCATAAAATGCTTTCTAAAACAAAACAGAGGGTCAAGACAGCACCTGAGAACTTTGAAATGTTGGGTCCACAAAATGTCTTTTTTTTCTGTGTCCTGGCGTTGTCTGTTTGTGTTATGTTTTATGGTTTTGCCAAAAGCTTTGACTAATTCTCATTCCATGTTTTCTTATCCAGGCCTCCTATGATACTCTGATTGTTACATCCATCTACCAACTGTCGCTGAAACTGGCAACAGCGACAGACAAATCCATGAACAAACTCAGGTAGGCAGAATGCTCTCCAGAGAAAGAGTAGAAAAGGCAGATAATAAATTTTTCTTTGTGAGCCTTTAGTGTTTATGAAATTTGCAATAGACTTGTTTACAAGGACATTTGGTTTGTTTAGGAATTTTGATAGCAAGGACATCTGTCTGTCTGTTTGTCTGTCTGTCTGTCTGTCTGTCTGTCTGTCTGTCTGTCTGTCTGTCTGTCTGTCTGTCTGTCTGTCTGTCTGTCTGTCTGTCTGTCTGTCTGTCTGTCTCACACATGCACACACACACACGAACGAATGGTGTTCTTAGTGTGCTAACATCTCCCCCCCCCCCCATCTTTCACAGAGAACAAGACAGGGTCAGTTTGACTCCTTCCCCCATCGATGACTTCTTGTCTGACTCCGGCAAAAGTGAAATTACTGCATTCAAATCGGCCAATCAAGAGCTGGCTGGAGTCCTGAAGAATCTCCGCAAAATCAAGCGCCATGTTCAAGGTAAGCTGTCTGCTTCTGCTGGTGTCTGCCACTGTCCTCTTTTTGTCCTCCTTCTTTTCATGGGTGGTTGGTGGGTGCTCTAGTACGACTTGCTCCTTCTTTCCTACCAAACATTTTTCGTATTCATCTCTCCTCTCTCTTTTCTTTGTATGTTACTCTATAGAAGTAACACCTCTGATCTTCAGCACTTTTATGACCTATTTGTGTTTAATGTGTTAATGCATTGGTAAGTAGAATACTACTGTTCAATGTATTTTATTTTTCTCAACATTTAGTGGTGATAATGGTAGGTAGGCCTATTAGTATTACATAGATATCATAGTCAGTGTCAAAACTCTATTTGTGAAGCATATTATAAATGGAGCATTCAACATTTTCCTGTTCTCAAATGGCCATTATATATCATGTAAACTTTTGGGTAGTTGGCGGGTGCTCTTGCATGGTGTGCTCCATCTTTTCAACGAACAAACATGTTGTCCTCATCTCCCTTTCTTTTATTACTCTCAAAGAACACCTCTAATCTCCAGCGCTTTTTTGACCCATTTTTGTGTTGCAAGTACAGTAAAACGCTTACTAAAACTATAACTGAAATGTGTTTCTTTTTACAGAACACATTGTAGTGTTTATGTGCCGGTATTGTATTTGTAAAGCGTTCAGAGCCTGTTTTCTTTTATCGTGGTTGAGCTTTATATAAATGTTTTATATTGTTATAATTAATTTAACCCAAAAAAATGTTTCCCTCCTTCTGTCCTCAGTGATGGACCGAGTGCTATTCCCTGATGAGGATAATGACACAGACATATCGTCTGGTCTGCGTATCGGTCAGCACTACGTACAGGAGATAGAGCGGATCCGCAATGAGATCAAAGGTTTTCAGCCCATCGAGCCTCATGACCAGGAAGTGGCGTCCCCCGAGATGGCTGAGCTCAGTGAACAGTTCTGAGACATGAAGGCTACTTTCGAAACTTTGACATTTTTAGGGAAGGAAGATTAACTCCTATCTCTCCAGTCATTCATCACATATTTTCTGTCATGTCGACACACACACACGTACACACCGATGTACTCAGCAGAAATATTTTTTGATATGTCCTTTTAGAATCACAGTTGAAATTGCTAGCTTACAGCTTTGCTTATATTCTTTTCAAGATTTTTTTGCCTGTAATTTATAAAGTAGAACTGTCTCTGAATCTTGAATGTCACACTGTTGCTACTTAAAAATGGACTACTTGTGATGTACATTGCACAGTTTTTGCCATCAGTAGTATCTAGTAGAGCCATATCTACAAGTCTGAAAACTCTTTACAGTTTGTTCCTTGAGCAAGGTATTGGGCTACTTGTCTAACTGCATGTGTGTGGTCAAGGATCAGTTTTTATCATCATTTATGTGCCAAGAGTAGGTGCCAAATTAAAGTTCATGTCCATTCATTATATCTCAAAGTTCTAATGTTGTAATGTCTGGTGTTAGCAATATCATTGTATCCAGAACATTTTTGTGGCCCAGAGGGTCAATAGCAAATGAAATGATGCTCTTTGTATGCTTCCCGGGAAGCTGAGAATGTTTCGGAGTGTTCTATGGTCTGCTGGGGTAATAATAATAATATAGTGTAAAGTGCATAGAGCCTGCTGTTGAGCGGGGATATGCGCTATACAAATGCTATCTATTATTATTATTATTCTTTGTCCAGCTTTGTGATTTGAAAGATTTCAAGAAGTGAACCAAGCAGGTCAAGGGGACAGCAGGAGGACTGGTGGAGGGGATGCTTGTACAGTAAATGTGTCTGTGTCTGAATGGACCGAACATCGTAGTGGGAGTGAAGGGGTGATAGATCCCAAGCCAGGGAAGTTTGTTGGAATTTTGATTCCATGTCTATCTGATGAAATACTTTGCATTGATATGAATTCAGTGAACAGATATATTCTACGTGGAAAATTTGAGTCACAATTGCCTGCTGAAATCCTCCCTCACGGAACTCCTACATTGTGTTCCTTTTCAACAGAAGGGCTCTGTGGCTAACTCCCTGAGCTATCTATCTATAAACTGCAATGTTTTACTCTCTGTATTTAGTTGACAAGTCTGGCCTGCAGACCTTTTCCCTGTTGCGTTTGTAGAAACATTTAGCCAAGTGATCACAAATTCTAGAATCTAGTTTATATATATGTATATCTTCTGAAATGTCTGCAAAGTCACAGTCTATCTTTTTCACAATGTGAAGTCTTAGTCACAATATGAAACTTTATTTTGACTCTATAAGTTATCACATACACAGTCAGCATAAAAAGAAATGGATAAATCACAGCTCTCAATTTGAAGTGAAGACTACAAATGCTTTAGCATGTAGCTTGTGTATTGAAATCCTCTGAACAGCTCTTTGATAGTTGTTTTGCGACTGTACCATGTGAACTATACTTGTGTTACATTTTATTTCTATATTCATTTGTTCAGGGAGCCGGTAGGAACAATGATTTCGATGCAGAATCACTCTATGCATAATAACTAAATAAACAATGCATGTGTAGCAAGGAAGAGCCCTGTTGCTTAACCCCTTTTGCCCCTGCCACCCATGCAGCGGTGGCAAGTAAAATTGTCGGAAGGCCAAACCACAGGTACACTAGTGAGCAAGACAGCATCTCTTTGTTGGATGTTTTAAAGCTAGTATTTTTCAGCTAATCTGAAAAAGCTATACATGTATTTACTTTGGCTGAGGTCTTGCTAAGATGTGTGCAGCCATGTGGAAGTTGTGAGCATGCTGTGTGGTGAACTATAAAGTGATTTCATCAAATACAAGCATGAATCGCTCAGAAGGCCAGGCAAAGAGGTGATGGTTGCCTCAGGGGTTCAGGGCTCAAAAGGTTAACACAGTTTCTTATGAAGAAGATATTTGTCTACACAGACCTTGTCTCATTGAGCAAGACGTACATTGAGAGTGGTCACACAGCTTGATAATTTGTGGTGAATAGTATAGCTGTCATTCTTCCCAAGGTTCCTCATTGTTACAAAAGGGCCTTGATTTGAGTGTAGCTTCTACCTCATTACTTTCGATAAGCAAAGCTATTTTGAGTGTCCAACTGCTCAATGTGAGATTTTTTTCACCCATCATCTTTTAAGATAAGAAGAAGGTTGTATAGGAGGATATGTGGAAGTGCTGTAGACTCCTTCCTTCTCTTCATGCAGGTGGGCCTTGAATGGGGTTCTTTTACCACACTGGTCATGTCTTTACATTTGCATATTTCTGTACTTTGTCAACTCAAAGGTGCTTTTTATTAACTGTTTTTGTGCGAGACCGAGAAAATGTTGCGGTTCTGACAGTCCAGAATTTGGTTGACCCATATGTTTTCGAGAAATCTGTTGTGAGCGTTGGCCTGTGTGGAAGATTGCTTCCGAGACTATATCTTCAACTTCAAGACAACTTGTGTTGATTAAACTAAATTTGATGTCCGTCACTGAGGCCTGCACAAGCCAAAAGTTCCATTTCGACAAACTTTTGGTATGTGTTGGTACAAGTTTCCAGGCGTCTGTGGTGTGCTGGTAAGGCTCTTCCCATTTGCATGCAGAAGACACGAGTTTGATTCCTGAGCGAGGACATTTTCTGTTGAGTTTTTCCATTTCTCTCCTGGGATGTTGTATTCCGCTCTGCTCGGTTTGGCCCTGACAGACAGGTCTAGATTGTGTCAATGGAAGGTGTAAAATATGATGTAACACATTTACAGTCTCTGTGCAGGCATTGTAGTTATCTCATTGTTGTCCGTCTGAAAGTTGTGAAAGCTCTGCCCCATACGTTCAAAGTGTAAGTATTGCGGCAGGAATTATGTTTTCCTTGACTGACTGTGAACCTTTTCTTTCTCAACTCGTGGATTTCAGAAACTGACCGCAGTCTTTTCCTAGACAAAAATTTGAACACTTTAGAGCTATAACCATCTCTCACCAACACTGTCCGTGTGTTTCTGTTATCGTATTACACCACCCACTATGTATGCAAGCTCTTCGGTACTTATAACAATGGCCTTGATCTCTGAATTATTTATAAAAATTCCTTTGCAAATCACTTAAGTTTCTATTTCTATGCAATGCCAGAAGCAGGAGATCTTAACTTGTGTGTACAGCTTGCACTCTGCTAAATTGTTCTCTAATGGCAGATGAGATTTGTTTGGTTGTTTTGACTGTCCTGTGAGGAACTGCCATCTTCTGTTTACTTATGACTGACCTTACCGCTGTACTATCTTCCTGTAGGATAGTTAGCTAAGTGCCTCGAATTGTGAACAACTTTCTGGAACCAACTTGGATAGTTTTCTCTCTGAAATCAGTGTGGCTTGTTTGTCTAATTTGCTTTACCTTTTGTTGTATATAAATGCACCTCCGTGTGAAGACTTTACGAATGCTGTTGTAAGAGCATTTTAATGAGGGGACTGTGTGAGGGTTCCCTTCCCCAGTTATATATATATATATAGGACTTTTTGAGAATATATGCAGTTGCTCCTCCTGTTGCACACACCCCACTCCCCCTATCCCCTGTCAATCCAAACTCTTCTCCTGTCTCATCTTTTCTGTGCCTGCCCTCCTCCACCAACCCCATCCCCCACTTCCCCTCTATCCCTGCATGATGGATGACAGATCTGTGGAATATGTCCAAACTAGTGAGGGAAAAATGTCGGCTCTGAGAGCTGTGAATGTTCATAGTACAGCTAATTGTCTGTGTGTGAGTTGTAGACCAGGCCTTCAGATTTGTGTATACTGACTGTAAGACTTGAGTTTTTCTGAGTGTTTCTTAAGTCCTGAGCTGAGTGTGAGTACTGTGAGATTTAATTTCTGTTGATGGTTACTGTAAAACCTGATTTGTTGTGAGAATTTGTAAGTCTTGGGTAACGAATGTGTACAGAAAAACGTGAGTTGATGCGAGTATTTTGTAAGTTTTCACTGGTGAACTTGTACTGTAAATCTTAAGTTGTCTGTAGCCTCTCTGTGATAAACAGCTGCTTGGTTGTTGCTCTGAGCCAGCGGCGAGCTTCTCTCTTGATATTTTTTCTAACGTTTTTATTATGCTTATGTTATGTTTCTCTTGGTGCGATTGTAACAGTGTGTAGGTATACTGTTTTAGTGTGATGGTGCGCCACTGTGAGTGAAGACTCTTGCAATTGTGCGTAGATCTATACACATCACATAAAAAACAGCGGCACTTGTATTTGTGAGTGAAGAATTTGACCATCAGTCATGGGTTTTGTGTGTACTTTGAGCACTTGTGTCTTCTTTGTGGTTCTAGTGAAGCCGGTCTCAAGTTTTGCCTGCCAGTGGCCGGACCCAAGGAAAACTGTCGGTCGCACTGTCAGTGACACTGAAAATTTCAGTCAAGCTTTTCTGCTGTGTACATTACTTCAGGTTTTTCTGCTCCCTATGACTAATTTTGGTGATGATTTGTGTCTAATGGAAATGTCACATTGACTTGGCTACCTAAATATGGCTGTGTCTGGCCGATATTCTTTGTGAGGATGCACTGGTTATGTTCCTGTTTAAAAAATTTGGGCATTTACGTTATCCAGGCTGACACATTTTTCTCTGCATTTTTAAAAAAACAATCCCGTTGTTATTTCTGTCAGTCTGACTAGCTTTTTCCCAGCATTGTGTGGCTGTTATCGTGTCAAAGTATATTTCTCTAACTCGAGCAAAAGTTCCTTCTGTTTTGAAATATCTAACAATAAATTTTTTTTTAAGTTACTACATTAAGACGCAAACGAGATGAGTTGAATAATGTTGTAAATGAGGTGAGCTGTATCAGGTTATCTTTGAGAACAGTCCACAGTGTGAGAGATATTGTTACTTCAGTGATTCAGTCGTACCTAGCTGGTAATTTCAACGAGGTTTCCAGCTTTATAATGTAGATGGGAACAAATGATCGTATTTTCAATTATAATTAGCTGATTACTTGTAGAGCTCTATGGCTGTGTTGGATTTGTTTTATCGGCATAATATCTTGGCAGTGCTGTGGCAGTTGTATCTGACTTATACCAGCGGTATGTAAGCACTTCTCTGACTTCTCACGACAAGAGCTAGTGTACGTTTGTACAGTTTCCCTGCATTACTACATTGTCTTGGGGTCTTGCAATGCTTGGTCGTCGTGAGAAGCCAGTAAGAAGGAGAAGTCTCTCTCTATCTGCCCATGAAGTCTAACACTCAAGAGTAGACAAGCATAGTTTATTGTTTTATGGCTTATGCGTAATAACTGTTTCATCAAATATTGTTGATGACCATGATTAATTTTCTTTCCAATTAAAAACATTGCTTATTTACAAAATATACTTCTAGTCTTGTGTGTTTGTTATGGTGTGCTTGTTTCTCGCACTAGAGCAGTGCAGTTGTTTGATAGATACTGCTCACTTTATCACAACTCCAGAGCGTGGATCAATGACCAGTCATGAGGTAGAGATAACCA